TTTTGCATAAATCAGTGGTAATCACACCAATATTTAGTAGATGACACAATATAATTTCTGGAATTCATCGACTAGACACCTGAACTCGATCATAGCTTTACTTGTTAAGTGATTCTCAGTAGGCTATATAGGTTTTTAAATTGTGTTAGCGTCACACACTTATAATACAAACTGAGCCGAAAACGAAATATCGGTAAATGCAAACGGCTACAAAAAAACTAACATGTCTAAACCCGATCATACTCAACAGGGACCGTTATTTTTATTCTCGAACAATCACTGTTTATTTGTATTGTGAGGTGCATGACACTGAATGCAGCCTTTCGAACATTATTCCATTACATGGTAACTGAAAGTTAGTGATCGTTGGTATTTGTATAATGTATCTATGTTATGGTTATAGTTTGATTAAATTTACAGTACTCTTATCTACTTATCTGTTACATCTTAATATCACAGGTTGTAGTGTTGTTGAATAGAAGGTATGTAAAATAAGGTATTTCAGTTGGAATGCTTGAATAATTTGCAATATGGAACATGACCGTTTCTGCGTTTCTTAAGAAAAGTGTTTATTTAATTATTTATGCTTTACAAATGCCCACCTATTTTATCGCTATTTTATTTCTTTTTATCTTCATTTGCTTAGGTCTGTACTTGAAATTTTAGGTAACCGGTAGCTTTGGAGTTTTTAGGTGAGAAGTTCTGTCACCCTTTGCACAACAGTTTTGAAAACCTTGCGTATGAGTGAGAAATTCTTGCGTTTATAAGCCTTTTGCTAGTTCTGTAGAAGTGGTGATACTGGTCTGCACAATTAGATATTTATATAGTGACTGGCTCTTTTATTATTTGTTCATTATGTTTATCTTTTATGGTGTGAATGAGATAAGTATAGATCAAAAGGGATGCAATTGGAAGTAAACTAGGGTTTTTTTGTGCTAATAATATGAAGCCGATACTTGTATATATACTGGACAATTAATATTGCCTTTGCTCTCCACTTTATAACCAAGATAGTAAAATAAGGTTTGTCGGTTTTCATTTTGGTCCGGATATTCGAAAATATGGAGAAAAGTAGTCAAGACATGTTGTGTAGTTCAACTTGCAAATATGCGCCGGACTACTTGCAGTATTTGTACTGACTCATGATTTATTTGTACTTAATTGCGCGCATTTTAAGAGATACAAATACATCAACTCCAATCGTACTCATCTAGTTTTACCTGCTTCAAGTTGCACCATTTCATGAATTCTTAGCGAACTATTTCGAATACTTCTGGTCATCGTACTAGTATCTCAATAAAGTCAAATCCTAGGCAGTTGGAAATTAATTTAAATGGGGTTGTCTATGAAGGCTAAATAGAGCTGTTCGAAATCTACTGCATGCTTAGAAAAGATATTAAACATGATGAACTCTTAGTTATCAAATTATTCCCATTACTTGAACCGTTCACATTCTCTGTTGACGATGTCTGCTAGAGCACATTAATTGACTTCGCGTTTCACCAAATTTAGACACCGATATCGAATACTAAACAATGAGAATAACTCACTGAATATCTCTGACAAGTGGATTACCTTCTCCTCGAACCTGAGCTCTCGGGGTAACTTTGGCAATATATGGTCAGTATAACGTGCATGTTCATTGCTTCCCAACTTATGTACCAACAATGGAGTCTTCCACGCGTCGTCTTGGTTACAGAATTCTATTCTAAATATATCGTCCCAACGTTTGAACTACGTGAGGAAAGTATTTCCACTTTCGGGATCATAGATGAATTCTGGGATGCCGCAACACAAGACATACTTGAAATAGCATGTGAACTCGAACAGTCGATGTTGAGCTGTTGAGTCAGAGTCTCCAACAACCACATTTGTGCATCAGGTTGTATTTGCTGTTGTTGTAGTATTTGGTTAGGCTGGTCATCTGATATGGGCGTCTTGGATTTGTTTTCCTTTTCTTCGTCGCCACTGTTACAATTCTCTCTTATAGCCATAACCCAGCTATTCCTATCGGTTAGTATTCTCGACACAAATTCACTCGACAAGTCCCCAAATCAGAACACGGTTGAACAGGAAAGAGATTATATTCCAAATAACAAGGTTAGATGGAAGTAAGAAGCACAATAGGAAAAACGTTAGTATATTTCTAGTTTTTTCATGAGGTTTTTAGATTGTTCTCCAAGTATCGGCTAGCGCTGATTGGATAAGAATTAACCACAAAGTTGTTGGAGATATAAACGGTACCACTATTGACATTCATAGTATTGTAGTTACTCACATTTATCACGAGAACACGACCGGTTTAATAAAAACAATTATTATTATAACCAACTGTACCAGTGTTTGTTTTAATGTGCTTTTGTTTGACTGTGCTAATGACAGCTATATTGTGCTTCCATTCTCATTCTTACAATTTGATTGTGACTTCGCTCGAATTTGGTTACGTTCTGTAACCAAGCTTGTATGCTGGCACGATCTCGGTATCCTTTCGATACCACGAGATCGCCAGCGAATATATCTCGATTTGGTCCATTAATTGCCTTCTGATATTTGGCTTCTCGGAGATTTTATGGATTTATTTGGTTACGTTCAACCCTCGCCTTCTGATTTATTTGGCACGTGTTTCTCTGTAGCAGTGTTCATAGTCCATCTCAACTCGACGCCACGCTACAGTATAATTAATAACATTATTGTTGACGGAGACATTTGCCGGAGCAATTAAATTGTTGTAAGAGTGATCATTAATATATTGGTAATTATAATCTACACAGTTATTACTGAGGGAGAGCTAACAGTGTAAAAAGTACTAGTATTAGCTGTGACAACAGATTCAATCACAGAAACTACCAACATAATAAGTGAATTTTGTAAGTGATGACGGAAACATTTATTGGATTTAAGGCTTATGATTGTTACTAATTGGCTAACGTTTGCTATTAGGCCAACAGGCCCAGCACTTTAAAGCTAATTTTTACAGCCTGACCTACGTGATCTATTGGATTCATATTATTGTCCACATTGACTCACTCTAACATGGCAGTCAGGATCATTATTTTCCAAGATCCCACTAGAAATGTATTTCTATATGATATGCTTAGTATAAAGATGAAAGAGTTATATGGTCAAAATAGTCGTGCAACTCGCTAATGTTCTCGCTTCAGCCTTCCAACCTCCACACCTCTCACCAAATATTCATCATCCAGTCCCTTACTGTCTAATGGAGAAACGGATTAACTTTATGCATGGTTTGTGCTGAGAGTTCCGTTTTATTATACAGTCAATACGTACGTAATAAAACAAACAGACCAAGCTGAGAAGCTAGTTAATTGGCTTAGCATTGTCCGAAGGACTGAAATTTAATAGAGCCGTCGATTGATCTGAAGTGATTTTTCTGGCTTAAACCTGGAGAAACCTTACGATACGTAATCATGAAAAAACTGGAAACGACTGAAGACTCCGTTGTCATATTTGACAGCCGAGATAGTCAGATGTATTGGCGATGTAACTTCCTACCATGAAGTTAAACTATGTGAACTATCTGTTTAACATCCAGGCTCATGATAAAATATGTGATTACGTGACAAGCAGCCGACAGCCGAGTTCCGAAAGTTAGAATCAGCATATCCTAGTGCAATATTCGATTGGGTACATGTAAATCGGCTTCAAATTTAGACTTTTCGTGACGTTTTTAAGTGACTGACTTTAAATACTTTTCAGTCGGAATGTATTTTCTAAGAAATTAAAATAAATTATGTACGCTTGCTTTTATTCGAAAACTTGATGAGCGAGTAGAAAAAGGCCTTCACAAACAACAGTTTAGACGAAATGTGACTTGAAAAAATGAACACGTTGGTCTATCCAGAAGCTAAAGTAACCCATTTGGGCTTGATATAGTACCATACACCACACTATTACATAAATGGGATATGAAGTTCAAAATATCCTGCTCGTTAATGCATTTGAATGCGCGACGAATTAACTATAACTATCGGAAACATTTGTTAACTGCTGAATTAAAATGCACAGTTGTGGTTTACGGATAACCAGAAGGTTTTGTGTTTCTGCACTCGTGGGAGCGATGAACTGTTGATAGCATACTAGTAATGATAACTTTGCCTGACGTACATGAGCATATTCTTTTTAGCATTGGTTTCTAAGCCCCGACTTTGATACCATTTACCTAGTTCGTCTGGGTCAGCTTAGGGGTCATAGTGATCAGCCTCACTTCTTCGGGTGTTGACATCATCAGCAAATAATAATGTCAACAATGTAAGCAGTCGCGTTAATCCAATGACGTTGAAAAGGAAAATTATGGAACTTAAGATGATACCTGGGATTACAACACTTTTGACCGACTTCCATTTAGATAGTTTCTCACCTACCCTCACTTTTTTGTCCTCACCTACAGAGGTAGTTTCTAACCCACTCACGTTCAGCACCTGTCACTTCGAAGCTAGAGTGCTTCTGCATAAGACCTAAATGATAATATCAAATGCTTCGCTAAGATCTGTGAGTATTACATTGACAGACGAACGTTATCTTGGGCTGCTGCCCAATAAGTAAGATGATCAAACATGAATGCTTAGTTTAATGCCTGTGATGTTTGGAAGTTAACAGATTAAATGATTCTATGTTACTTGGTCACTTAATATATATCATTTTCATATCCACAATATTGCCAAAATTACTTGAAAAAAAGGTTTCCGCATTAGTTTCTAGGATGACACTCCATCCACAAGGCCAGCATTCAAGGAAGTGAGAAAAAAATAGATCCAGCTGCCACACTGAACGGCATAACGACATTGTCAATGTCATACAATTTAAAACAGCATTAGAATCAACAACTAATCTACTTCAACATATGCATCGGAACTCCATCTGTGAAATGATTCACACATTGGAATGATTATTAGAAGAAAACTAACTTTTTATCTCAGACGTTTTAGAGTGCACGTTTCGGACTATTCATTGTTTTATTCAGCTAACCAATTAATTTCTCTGTTTTCCGTGGTTCTGTCCTTGTTTACTACCGGGAATTTAAAATGGTTGAAGATGCCAAATTTCTGAAAAGGTATGTTAGTAGTATTGACGAAACTGCCAAAGAAAAATACGCGCTGGTTCCATAGATGTGCATCCAACTGAAAAGGCACTTGTTGTGCACTATGAAACGGAGGCTACAATTCTTGGGGAATTAGGAAATCCAATGGTTGGGGATCGAAAGGAAAGTCAAAAAATGTAATGACATATAGATTTATGAGATTTTAAATATATAGAATTCGGGTTAGAAATCTGAATGAAAACACAAATATCCCTGAGCTGGCCAAAAAGATCATCTCAAGCTGCAAACTGATATCGGAAAACAAATATCCACAAGTTGAACACTTGCTAAAGTATTTGCTGAAAAGAAAAGAGACAAAGAAAGTTAAAAATCGTTAGTTTTTGCTGTTTTAACGACAGCTTCTATTATATGTATAATTATTCGATGGGAAAATTTATGTTGTCATTAAAAATAGACTGTTCAAGCTTGACCCTATAAACACTACAAGATGGACATTTTTCGTCTATATTCAATTTATATAAGTGTTTCTTAGAATCACGTAGGAAAGTTTGATTCCAGAAGGACTCCAGTTTGATTACTTACTACCACGAGATCTTTATTCTCTTTCGATTCATCCTGGATTCATTGCATACTACTGAAAAACATTTATAGTTTTAGATCTTTTACTCGTAAGACACCATTTGAAAACAGAGATTGCACACTGCAAAGACCGCTGTGTTTATTTTCCAAATGCGCTTCATAGAATATATGGATATACAAACACCAGGTAGAATGGGTTCCCATACTCATTTACTAATCACTTTTCGGTAATGCACGAAATTTGAAAACATTTCTAGCCACTTCAAATAATCTCGGAAGCAAATAAAAGACTGAAGTGGATTGGTTGTTACAAAATAGTTAATTTATTTGTTTCAACGTGAAATAAAATGATTCAGTTGTTTAACTGATGAAAAAACGTTCGTGTTTTTTTATCCAGTACAGATATTCAAACCAATCACCAAATTTTCTCACTTGCTAGGGTCTCACAAAAATATAAACACTCGAATTTTTTACTTTCCATATAAAAGGAAAAGCTATGTGGCCGACGAATTTGATTGCTTAACAACATGAGACTTTCTTAAGAAAATATAGTCTCATATATTAGATTTGCATAAAACTTTTGAAGAACGAACAGCCAGGTGAAATGTAACTACTTAAATGAAGTGACAACAAGGAGATTCCAAAATTGCCAGTCAAATTTATAGGGTAGATACATTTTGAAAGGACGACCAAGCTCCATCTAGATCACGTGTCGTCTCTCAATAAAAGTTTGTCTCGTTGCTATGAAACAGACAGGGTTGATATATCAGTGTTACGAATCAAAGCAAGTTCTGGTTGCTGCGACAAGCACAGCTGCTCGCCACGCCTTGCGATTAGCCGATTTCTGCCACTTATCGCTATTGTCTACGCAAGTAAGACAGCAGGACTTTATGTAAAGAATTATTTATTCACCAACCTCTACTTAACAGGACATAAAAAGTAATGGCATCACAAATGTCATTTGTAAGCGTGCAATCAATGACCAGATTTTAATGAGTTAAAATAACAGTTAATCAATTATTAAAAATGTGCACTTAGTTTGCGAAATCAGAAACCGAAATTTCTTGATCAGGAAATATTACTCACTGTTGAATTATATATCTGTTTCTGTCTCAACATCCATATTTTGGACATTTTATAGCTAAACTATGCATTTTTTAGGCTTAGTCCAGTAGTTAGTAGCTACAAACGTTGCGATACAACCTATTATAAAAAACTGCATTTAAAAGTACATATCTGATAACATGAATTACACCCGTATGTATAAAAATGTTATATCATTACCGCAAAATCAGAAAAATAATTCAGAACATACTTACCATATGAAATTAATGGTTTGATCTGAAGTTGAAATGCCCTATGTTTTGTAAGCTTATATCAAATTTTAATAGATTGGAGGGTATATATGACCGAAATCCACTTCACTTCTTAACGAGAACATTGTCTAATATTTTTGACTTCGTAGATGCATTTTACATTCATTTTCTATACAATAAATTGATTTTTTGTTGTAATTCACAGTAAAGAAGACGTCTTTCTCGAGTTAAAAGTTGCTAACAAAACATAAACATCGCAGATCAAAAGAGTGCTTTCTTATATTCTGATCGAAAAATCCGAATGAAAATGTTTCTCTAATTTTTGAATTTCAATAAATCTTTCGTGGAAACGTTCATTTATCAGTTTTCATATTATCAGAAGCTTGATGCTAAATTAATCTGATCCTTACACTAACGAAACGTACATTTCTGAAAATCAAATGGCTTGAATGAAAACCGTTTTAATGACACGGTCGGCACTATCCTTTATACAGCTGCTAATGATTGTTAAATTTTAATTTTGCTCAGTATTTCTATATTTTTAGTGTTAAATTATCTTTTGCTAGAAAAACCATCAATGATATCAGAAACACTTGCTGATCCCGGAGCGTTTGATTCAACTGAAATAAATGAAATTGCTCATTTGACTGAACTAGAGGATTATTTAGAACTACTCTATGAAGGTATATCAGAAAAGCTACGTGCATCGGCTTTAATTTTACAACTTGCGAGAAATTCCGACAATTTAGAGGAGCTGTTTCAAAATGGTCAGTTAAAACCACATCTTCATAATTTTTGTTTTGTTTTTATCGTCCTTTAGATTCTTAGTTCTCTCCAGAGGATGGAAAACAGATACCTAAGTCAGCGTCTATAAAGCTGGATTACTGTTTGATGTTTAGTACTGATGATGCTGATGAGGTATTTGGATTTTTCCGCAGATTAAGGCTATGACATTCTAAAGTTTGTTGACTTCATACAGGATAGATATTTATAACATCACTCAACGATAAAAATAGAAATAACGCCAAGACCGTTTAGTGTATACCAAACCTCCTTATGGTAGACTTATACACGTTGATAACATATGAGGCTTAGCAGACAGAAACTCTGTGCCTGCTTACAAAAGTGATAAAATTTAAAATTATTGCCTATTGGTAGTAACGAATGTTTCACGGAGCCTAACTTTACGCTTTAGCGGTAGTACTTCCCACTTAAATGTTACGGTGAGTACGATAAAATAAATCCAGAAACTATACTAACTTAGATCTTAATGACATATTTTGTTGTACATGTGATATTAAATGCTTCCACAATTTTTCGCTGAATTTCCCTCCAACATGTCTAGATAAACGTTCGTTATATCCATGTGAATCATATTAGAGAGCCAAAGTATAATAGTACATGTAGAAATAACCTTTTGATGTTGGGATATGATAGGTTGCTTCTAACTGAATCAACTAAGTCTTCTTTTATCCCGTCTTTATGTTTGTCTTTCCGCACTTCTGAATATGACATTATTGAAAGTATCTAATATATAATTTGACTCCCTTAGTCAACCTGTTTTCATGGTTTGATCAAACCATTTACTTATTTTCCCTACAGCCTATTGTTTAACGCCAGTACTATCACTCGAATAGTTATGTTACAAACAAATAGAGACGCAGACGTTTCTGGTTCTATAGTCTACCTGTTTTATTCTCCATCAAGAATCATGGGTAGGAAAATATGGTGCTGCCGCTCAAGGTTTCTCACCAATCATTTTCAAACAAATGTTTAACCAGTGCTACATGACATGAATCGGCGTAAAATAGCATGGAAAGATTTCACGTTTCCTTCCGGAACATCAGTTCAATAATTTGGAATAAAAATTTTAATTACGTGAAGGTTGATAAGTTTGGATAACATATTTTTAAGCTTCGGAACACATTCGTGTTTAAAAAGTCCGAGGTATTGGTTCGAACATTTTGGGAACTGTTTTAATAGATTGGCTTTACACTGTGTTTAGAGAATCATATATTTATTTGCGACTTATGACTTTTGCCTTGTATTGAGCTTGAATATTTTCTTCATAGAAACCCTTGTTGGTGCTTTGGCAAGAGTTCTGCGTGAAGACTGGAAAAAGAGCACAGATTTAGCAACAAACATAGCCTATATATTCTTCTGTTTTTCTTCCTTCTCAAATTTCCACGGGGTAATATTGCACTTCAAAATTGGTAGGTTTATTTAAATGTACCTATTTTACCGGTAAATAATTAACTATCTTGAAAGATTTCAAGACGACCGACTTTGATATTGTCTTTGTTCACAATATTCATTCTGATGAAATGGTCTAGTTTTCATTTCCGTTATAACTGTACAGTTTGTCTCTTGACACTCAGTACATGGGTAATGATCATCGCTGCATCAATTGATCTATGGGTTATACTTGATCCATCTAATGCGATTGACGAATTTTCATTATATCATAGTCCACAGAGGTATGTTTCACTTCTGAAAGAAGTGGTGGACATTTATCCATAGATAGCTCAGGACAGGACACTACACGACATCGTTCTAAGTTTCCATACCACACGAATGAACATTTAGGGGAGAAATTAACAAAGCAAAAGGAGATGGAGACGAAATCATTGTGTTTGTTACTGCATAACTTGTGAGATTTGGCCATAAAGAATTGAGTTTGATCGAATAATAAAGTTCATGAACTAAAACGAAACCAAAGATTTAAGGGGAGATAGATAGCAAGTATATCTGTACCATTGCAATAAGTTTTAACCCATTGCAAGCAACGTTTGTAACGATGGGTTACAATGATCACGGGTGTCCCAACCAGAATAGCTCAGCTACCTCTCAGAATAATGATATGTCTCTTTTAGGATCTCCAAAATTTCCTTCGATGTACTCTTGGGCCAGCTTGTACTACAACTCAAGTTAGGTAATGAAACGTTATGCATAAAATATATCCTAGCTACCTTAGCTATTGAAGGTTTATTACCTCGTTAATCGACTCGATGCTCTCATTAAAAACTTTACTTCTCATAATACTATTCATTTGATATATCCCTCATACCGTGCTTCTAAGATACACACATTTAGATACTTGGACCTTATTTATATTTGTTAATTTTATAGACTATGTTTAGTAGCTCCCAATTGGAAAAAGGCCTTCTATTGTTCAATATACTAGCTTTTTAATAGACGGACGTAAATTTCACCTGCTTTACAACATTCATCTTCCAAAATAGTATTTCATTGTCTTCATAACTGTCATATTCAAATGTGTGCTAAGAACTGACTGCTGCTTTGAACGGCTTGATTGTTTGTCTACCATTTTGATTCTTCCTGTGCATCAGGTTTTGTCGGTTGCATAGATTGTGCTCTTTTCATGTGTCTTCGAATATTGCTCCATGTAGTTATCAAAGCTGAATGCAAGGTGATCAACGGCTCCATTCGTGGACACTTCATCAATTTTGGCTATTCATGAAATAAAGTAACTTTGAAAATTATCTACAGATTCAAACAAACTGACTCACTGACCAGATACTTGCTCATGAGAAGAGACTTTAGTAGTCTACCAGATAAGGCCAAATATCTATGATTAGAAGCAGCAATTCCAATCTTTCATCGTGCTATTGAGCTTTACCATCATTAGTTGCAGTAACTGTTGACATCTGTTTGTTCCATCTGTGCATTTTTAGAATGGACAATTTCGTTTTCATACTTCTTATATGCAGTCAAATTCTACCTTGCTTACATGAGCCAATTTTCAATGTTAAGAGTAAATGCTCGTAAAGACTGACAATGTTTTAAGCACATGCTTTCGATATTTTTTCGTTGAGAAGAAATTTTTTTTATATAGAGCGGTAATCTCCCGAGACGTCCGTACGAAACATTTTTTAAGACCACCATCAATTGTATCATATTTGACAATTTGAATTAGTTTCGTGGAGAGTTATTAACAAAACTATTCAGGGCTAGTAAATAGATAATAATAATCTATTGAATCAGCAATATTATCATTAAGAACATATTCCAACGACATTTTAGGCTTCTAAGTAAACCTTTAATCCTAGTTTCATTAAAATTATTTTCGTTTAAGGTGCATTAATTATGACCATCATTGACCATGAATTAAAGAAATATGACTTATGGGTTGAAGAACTAGAAAGAAAACACAAATTATCGAACAATAAATCTGAGACAAGTTTGACAACGGATGGTAAATCTTTGGTGGATGAAGCACAAAATAATTATGAGACAAGCTTTTTGAAGTATAAATCACTAGTCAGGAAACAAGAACAGTTGTTTAGGGGTAAGTTACTTAAATCTATTTAGGCATAAAAACAAGTTAGGGTCGATTCATATTTATTTCATGCTAATATACAGATGAATAAAAGATACACGGTTATATCATCAACGTGAGACTTAGCAAGGGTCATTATCAAAGAAAAACAAAGTCTATCAAAAACTTAAAAGAGATGAAAAAGATTGAGCCATATCCAACTGAGTTTACCTATTTAAATACGTGTGACCATACAGTCAGTCAGTAACAAAGTAGAACTTCGTACGTACATACATCAGTTCGAGTTGCCACACCACATTAGCACAAAGATTCAGTTATCGATTCAAATCCCGTAGTGGTAGAGGCGGTAAGAGTATATGCAGTAATCGGAAACATCAGGGTTTGAAGATGTTAGTTAAAGAGCACAATCCAGTGAAATAAATTTGGAAAGAGAAAAAAAAGAAAAAAGAAGGATTCAGGGATTAGAATTTGGAAGAACACAAAGTGGATGCACCTGTGCCATTGCAAATGATCTTGAGCTATGTCATACATGTATAGGGAGGAGCAATAGTGAGCTCCAAGTTAGGGTAATATATATCACATAGTTTTGATACTGTTCGTCTTCTTATTACACCATCCAAATATATGCCAGCTACAGAAATTTCATAACCTAAAATTCATTTAATATACTATGACGGATACATTCAGTTCTTGTATCTGACATTTCATGATGAGGAACAAAATCATTTGTTTTGATAATGGTTAGAAATGCCTAACAATACGATACTCATTTACTAAGATACATTTACAATATTAGATGCCCGTTGAACGAACATAAGCCACAGGCAAGTTAAGTAACATTATTGTCAATCGAAAGTAAAAAATATGCTGACATAAGATGATGATTGTCAGCTTCAACGACTAGCATAATATTTAACTTAGTACGGTCAACTAAATATTGATTCGTATCTGTAATATAACCGTGCCTGTAAGTAATGTGTGTAGATTCCACTTATTGATCTGCGAGGCTTAATTTATCAGTTTATGTTGTTATATGGGTTCCTTGGGCGTGTGGCTCAATATTTTATGCAGTCGTAGCTTGGTTACCCATTGTAACATCATGCTCTGTATGTTCATAAATGATTGACAATTATATTAATTGCTAAACATTAGTAAGTAGTACAATTAATACGTAAAAAAGAAATGACTAAGAAAAAGTGGAGAATTGGCATATCTGTTTATTTACGTAAGGACAAAGATCAGTGAAGAACACTTTCCAAGTATCTTGGGGCTAGCTGTTGATTGATGAATAAGCTGGTTTGTTTCGATAAATTTAACTGATTTATGGTGACCATGTTTCTTGATGTTGTATAATTGGCCAATAATATCATTGAAAGTATTCGTTAGAAAGGACTTTTTATTTGTATCCTGTATTTTCTTCCCTATGATAATTTATAGTTTCCTTTTACTTACTTCTGAATATCAGTGAAGACATTAATGTTGAAATTAAAATGCACAATAAAGGAATAGTTAGTATGATTTGTAAATGTTTGAACCGAGATAATTTCGAGCTGTTAATACTACTTGTCTCATTTTTGAAAAAATTGAGTATATTCTCTGAGAACAAGGATGAAATGGTAAGCGAAATTTAAATTATTAAATTTGAATTTTATTCACCTAACAATCAATCCTATTTCATATAGTCTAATTATAAAGTAAACTTATTGCAATATCAAATAGTATAAATGAATTTTGTCTATAAGTGATTTCGATCCACATATTAAAAAGACGTTTTGCTCTCAAATGAATCGTGGTCTGAAGGCATACTTTTTTCAACATATCATGACGTTTTAACAGTTTCAAATAATTTCCATTCTCTTTTTACTGGTTAGAAATTCAACATAATGAATCCGTATTTTGATGCAGTCTTTAGGTATTTTAGTAATAACGCTTCGCAGCTTGTTTTGCTTTTAATTGTGCAATTGGATTGTTCAAATTTAAGTTACTATATCCATTTGGATTGTATGATAACAGCATACACATATTTTACTATCAGAATGAGGGTTTATGGAAATTGTAGTGATTTGATAGTTGAATTCATGAGTCGATTTAAGCTAGATCAACCTGTACTCCATGGATGGCCATTTCGTTCTAGTATGGGAGTCGTGAGCAGTGCGTATCCACGATTGCGCACACAGGATTCAAACCCAGGACCTTCGGTCCGACACACGACGCTTAACCTCCAGACAACTGATCCGGCATACAACGGTGTTAGTGTCCAACTTCAACCAATCCACGATATTGCGCGACCGCCCATCATTGTCTTCAGTGAGTAAATGCCTCACAACAGACACGGTTGAACTCCTCTGGGACTATAGGAAACACGTCTAGTTTCGCACGTCAGATTCAAGTCATTTTGATTAAAACCATTTAATTGGGAAAGTATAAAAGGAAAAATAAAGTATATGTGTAAGCGCCTGCTTTTAAAACCTTATTATGTTTCAGAGAAAGTTTCGCAAGCGCGGGTTTTGTGAAGGTCCAAACTAAATAGGTATACACACCCTTTGTTCTTGAAATAATGACAGTTATCTTTTGCTAAGTCACACTACTCCTGCCTCAACCAAGATTTCCATCTACCTTTTATGTAAATATTATTTTGTTCGTAATTCCACAGTATTATTTTAAATACGTCAAATTTATCCCCTAGAAATGGGAGGCATACATTGGTCAAAGTATTCAGCCATAGAAACCCTTTGGGCTTATGTGTAAGGTATTCTTGTAAATAAACGTAAAATAGTAAATAAATATAGTCAGCTGGTAAAGATGTCTATTAATTTTCATTTTCTGAAACGATCAGGATTCATGTTACCTATATGTAGCTATTGATTGCCACCATGAATTATTCTAGCTACCATAGTATCATGGGTTGAAAAGAATTAACGTTATGGAACACCAGGATTTGAAATTGATTCGTGAATTCAACAACCACTGCTTTGGAGATCGATTATGAATCACCGAATGCGTTTACTCTTTATCTTGCTCCAAGTTTTGAGTTCAGTATTACCGCATACTTTTCACTCGTTTTCAACTTATTTTCTTCTGATTTTGCGATAAATCTTGGTTTTACATTAACTGCTTTGCTTTAGGTGGCTTTAAGCGATGTTCACAGTATTGATGAAAGTGGAAATTATTTATATTTATGTCATATTCTATATTGTTTATGGTTGTATCTAGGAAATAGCACTTATTTAATATTAATTGTGATTTTATTCTGTCTTCAGTACGTTTTGATTACCGTCCAAACCGTTTTACATTCTCTTATTGAATTTCAGTTAAAAAACGGTATAATTGACAGATTATCCAAAATATTATGTAGACCAGAAGAGGATCTCGTTAACTTGTGTTTACGTTTGTTATATAACCTTAGTTTCGATACATCGGCTAGACTAGAAATGGTGTCCAAAGGTGTTTTAAATAAAATTGTAGGATTATTAGGTGAGTTGAAGAGTCAGTTTGTATTTCTAACTAATAATGGTTGATTAAATTACGCTATGACTGTACTCAGGGTAAAGGTTAGTTATAGTTCAAAGCAACTGCTTTTGAATTTTATGTGCACATCTTTGTCTCTTTTAATATCACATATCGTCAACGAAAGTCATTAGTTTCACTTCCAAAGCAATTCCAAAATTGAATGCAGTAGATCTGATCCAAACAATGAAAGATGATTACAGCACAAAACGTTCAAGTAATTTGAATAGACAAGCTCATGTTGTTCGGAGACGTTTTCGGTTTATATACTAAGACATCGTTGAATCCGTATATTTTTGAATCAATATACTCTATAAGAATTTTCATTATTCCCAAAATGAGATAAATCCATTTGCTGTCCAACTAGTGACTAACGTAAAACTGTATTCTAACTGTACATAATTAGAGACTCACTGTTTTTTATGTTACATGAGATGAACCAAAATATATGCCTTATCAATACTAAAAGTTAACTTGTTAGATAATCGATGCTTTCATCAGATTATTGATGCGTAATATCAAGTACAGATAAGTAATTTCACAAGGGAAAATCCATCTCAGCGTGTAAATATCTCAGATTTAAAGAACCTAGAAGATCTGAGAACAGATGGTGATAAATATATATACATCCGTTAATCCGCCAACTGATATTGGTATATAATATTAATTGTTGCACTTTACCATCTTCCTACTATTGTTCCACTCTTTCTATGAGAGTACAATTTATGGCGGTAATAATCTTTATACTGATTTCCAGACGATGAAGTACTCAATTTCTCTCATATATCGAAAATAATTGAACAAAAGTTACAAGTTTCCCCAGCCAATTTTTGGAAATATTGGGGTAGTTTTAATAACTCCAAGATTGCCTAATTAGTTATATGTCTGACTTATGAGATGAAGGTAGAAATACATTTATTAGAAAAAATTAGGATGTATGCAGAAACTAGTAACTTCAACTAGAAAACAAACTTGAAAAGCAAAACCTCACAATAAAAATAAAAGGGGGAAGTAAAAATTTCATTATGTAAGAGACAACGTACTTGTAAACAACGACAATAGTTTAAGTTAAATATTTTGTAATTTACCTGTACTCGAACAGTGTTCTGAAGATGCCTATAGTCAGACGCCTGTTAATTTAGCATAATATTCAACTCCAACTCTTTTGTTTCGCAAAGGAAATACTTCATAAAACTAGTGTTAGTCACGATTGCAGTGATATATTTTTGGGAAATGTCGATAAATGTTTATGCATATTTGCTATAACTCTGTCCGCCACTGTTCGAATAATGTTAACACAAACTCCAAACATCTGAGGTGGTTAACACACTCAACAACTACATACTTTCGTAATTTAAGTTTTTGGGCAAGTTAGGTTTCGTAGCGTCTTCTTATTGACAGATACGAAACATCTTAAATGCTTATGAATTTCCTATCAGGTTATTTTATGAGATCTCTTGTCACTATCTCCCTACAGTTCTATATCACCTACGGAAGGAGTTACAGGTAGGAGATCAGTCGTTGACAAGCTGGCGATAACCAGTCTTGTGCATTAGTACCTCTATTGCATGAACCATTCAAAATAACAAGTCACTTTGTAACGTCATGAAATAAATAATGATTTCAACTGTTCACAGTGCACAGATGAACAAACTTTTATTTCAATCCTCAGATCTTTTTTTAAAAAACGTAATGGCTTGACATGGTTTTCTGTTGACTTTGAAGGTGTTATCGTTGGCAACCAAGTTTTGTTTTCTCTGACTTGTAAACTTTTAGTATAAGAAGCTAAAGAAAGTCCTTTCTTGATTCTGAATGTATTATTATTATTACCAAAAATTAAAAAAAGGCTTTATGATCTTTGTTTCAGTAGCTTCATTATGCTATTATTTGTCTCATTATTTGTTGCTCCCCCCAGAAATCCAATTTCTATAATGAAACAGAATACTGAACTATAATATATTTTAGTTTATCATATTTATTACATCAATAGTATTTTTTTAAATTAGAAAATACTCAACATCAACCAGTAGCTTTGTACATACTATACCATTTAACAACAGAAGCTCAATCCAGACCGGCGTTTGTCAATACACATTGTTTATCATTTGTAAGTTATCATTTTGTTTTCATTTGACGTTTAATCAAATACTGATTTACTAAACACAAAATTGTAGGAAATTTATTTGTACCTTTACCCATTTCAACCTTGTTTGTACATTTATTTTCGATGTTTGATCTGGATGCTTTTACAACGCATTTTTTTGTGTGGGATTTCTTTCTATACTCAAACTCAGAACTCAATTTAAAACAAATCGATTTATCTCTGAGCTATTAAGCCATGAAAGTTGTAATTTTCCAATAATGGTCATAATGAATTGCTCTACTTCGTGTACATATACTCTAACACTGAGATTACATTTTCAGATATTCGAAGTGATGAATACACCATCCAGCAAATAGTATCAAAATATCCCTTACCGCAGAATCTCTGTACTAAGAACGATGAGTAACATTGATCTCCAAAATCAGAAATTGCAAATTATAAGATATAAGAATGATGTACTTCAGCTTTTTTCCTAAGTTCTGTAAACTTTTGTAACTCATTTGACAAGTACAGGTCTATTCATCAGGTCTTGAGGCTCACATTTTGTATGTAAGCTACTGATGCTAAATAGTCGTTCAAAAGGATGTCGTAAGGAAGCTGTTCAAAATTTCAGCCCAGTGACTGAAGTTCGTGTGATTTGATAACTAAACGTTCCCCTTACTACGGTTTTAAATTTTTAATGGTTGCTAAATCGTTGGCCTTGGATGCTGGTAGTAAATTATATTATCATAAAATATTCATGATTAGTAAATGAGGGTAAAGTGATTAGATATCAGCAATAATTTTAATACAACATTCGATGTAATTTTGGAATCATATAAATGAACAGTTTTGAATTGGTTCATATCTGAATATCTGAATGGGATAGATGTCATGTTATAATAAGGTAATGAAAACACAAAACCGATTGATAACTGGCCACAAAACTCGGACCAAAGTATTAAATTTCATACACAAATAATACCACCAGCACAAACAACTACCATTTTTAGATTTTAGCAACTTTTTTTAAGACAGGTTATCATCTTTGCTATAACACTGGTTGATTAGTAAGGACGACTGAAAATATAATAGTCGAACAGATTGATTTCACGATGTGAAGTAGTTGACGAGGATGAAGTATTTGTTAGTAATCTTGTACTATGAATCCTTAGATAAGCGATGAGGACCAAAGTTAAATCCGCTTACTAGAAGGCTAAATGTACTTCCACCATGAATTTTTGGATTTACTGAATAGTAATTTGATACCACGACAGACCTCTAAGCTTTCCGGCTGACATGCTTCAAGTTCTGGAAATCTCCGTTTCTTCGTGCCAACTAATCTCGTTCAAAGTTGTTGGGTCTTTATTTCGCACCAAACTTTAAATATTTTTATTTCTTTCCATCTGTTTGCCTTCTATCTATCTATTCTTTTCTCACTTGAACTGATTATCATCTTGCTTGTAATGACTTTGTTTTTGAGTCATTTAAAAGAATGTTACCTTAAACTGCCATGAGTTACTATGTTCCAAGTTGGCATTTTTTTCTGCGTGTCTATCTACCAGTGATTCATAAAGAGCATCTTCTATCTATTTGATTTATTCATAAAATTTATTTAGTTCCACGCAAAATGTTTGTTTAATGGCAATTACTGATGATAATTATAAAACACTGATTGGATAAGGCATTATCGTCATTATATTTTCAGGCTACATGAATAAATAGTGAATTTCTCCCTACTTTTAGCTTAAGAAATTAATACTGGAAAATCCTGAAGAGAAATCTGATTTAATCCCGATGGCTCTAGGTATTAACTTGGTATTAGATAATCAATGTGCAAATGCTATGCTTGGTGAAGGTCGATGTTTTAAACTGATGAGTAAGCGTGCAATAAAATTCCGTGATCAATTAATCATGAAGTTACTACGTAATGCAACACAGAACAATGATTTATTAAAACTAAAGATGGTAGTAAGTAATTGTAGATCTTGATGTTTTTACTAATTTAAATGTATATTCTGTGAAAATTACATAGTTTCTTAACTTTAATCATTTACTTGTTAAACAATATAATAGTTCGGTAGAAGCTTTTTTTTTGATGGAGTTTTGTTTTCTGAGCTGGAGAACAAAACTCCATCAAAATCATCCACCTGAGCTACAAATCTTCTCCACCATCTCGGTAGAAGCTATTGAACAATAACATCGACTCTTGCAAATACCGTTGTTTTTGTTCAGTCGTCTAGGAAACTAAAAACTTACGAAGTGATGTTAATCGAATAGTGGATATCATAGATGGCAGCTATTATATCCTGGAGGTATAACTGTATGTTCTTTATTTGGGTCATTAGGTAAAATGTCACCAATGCAAATCTAATTGATAATTTACACTTTTCGCCTACAGACCTACCATATTAACTTTAACCACTGATGATGCACTCTGATTCACAACAATTAACCTTATATAGTAACTGAGACAATTTATTTGCTCATAATTCAACCTGTTTTGTTTAGCCCAGTATTCACTCCAAAGTAAGAACACAACAAAAAAGCAAAATGTACTGTTTTCATTCAGTCATCCAAACATATAACCCAAATACCTTGGGGTAACAGTAACATTGTGAAATAGTCAGAGAGAAGTAAGTATAACTATTGTATTGTTTATATTCTCCCCTACTTGACCGTGTTTGTCATAACACATTATAATAATCGTTTACGAACATTAAATTGATCTTTTAGCACTTGACACCGGTTGTGCGGCCGTGGATGTGTACTGCTTAAGAGTCCCGTACTGAAACAAAAATGCTATTCAGTGTCTCCAAGTTTCCGGTGATTATTTAATTAAGATCAGTCCACAATGTTAACTATGAAATTCAAAAAAATCCCCATAGACATCTTATATTACTTGACAAATGATGCAGTTAGTCCGTTGTTTCATTAACATATACTACCTAGTGAAGCTTTTAGATATCCATATTTTAGACCTTCTTTTACTTGAAAACCGTGAGTTTTCAGTCTCACAAATAGTATTTTTGCATAACTTCTCTTAACATAAGTCTCTGCGTGGTTCAACAACGAGAAGAGAAGCTCTATGACTACAAACAGTTTTCCCCGATTTAGATTACCAAAAAAACATTAAAACTATTTCCACCTAAAAATTTACACCTTTTCGTTAACTGTCTTTTATTATTTTGTTTACTCTGTCCAACCAATTTTGAAGGATTTCCTGCCAGAACTATTAAAAATCGTGACTGAAGAAAAACCTTTTTTGATGAATACACCAAGAAATCTTTATTCTTCTACAAAAGCAACCCGATATGATAAATTGAAGGTAAGTAGTAAAAAGCAATTGAACATTGAGGCACTGAACTCCAAAACCAACCAGAATAACACTTCAAGTTTATTAGAAAACCGCTTAAAAATGAAAATTCACAAAACTGACGACGTTATTAATGGTGTTTGTAATGAAGATGATGATAACGACAACGAAAAAGATGATGATGATGATGATGATGACGAAAATGAAGTTAGGAAAAAAGAAGACTTCAAGTTTGAATGTTTAGGATGTTTAGCTAACCTCAATCTTAAGGATATTCAGTACAGTAAGGTAATCACTGAATTCAGTTTGCTGAAATGGATCAAAAGCCAACTGGAGAGCGTACATGTTCAGAAATCAAATGATTTTTTAAGTACAACTTCCGAAGTTAACAACGGTTTTGGACCAATTTTTTCATCACCAATGCCTCCCAATCACCTAGAAGATGATGAAATTTTAGAAATTGTACGAATGCTTAGTGCCATATGCCAAGATCCTGATGCAGGTAAAATGGTGATTGAAGCTGGAGTCGTACACAACTTGATCGGTTTATTGAACGGTATGTCACAGATTATATATACATTACATGATATTTTTTATGAAACTCATTTAACCTGTTGAGGTTATTGTCACTAAGTTTTCCTGTGTATGCAAATCGATGCAAACACTGTTAAATATAACTTTTCAGTAAAAATTCTATAAGTTGTAGAATGTCTAAGTACATGAAAAAAAGTAAGAACCTTCAGAGTGATCAATTCCACTACCCCTTTGATAAAGATACTTTATGGGAGCTTCCAAATTTTCTTCGTTGTAAATTTACAGGAGTGTCCTGGTTAGTCCTTATGGACATTTCGACTGTTCTTACCAAGAATCTTGATACCACATTTTTATAATACCTGATTTTCAGGAGCTAGCAGTAGAATCCAATGTGTGTAGTACATGGTATTCAGAACTCATCGGGCAAATATATTACATCAAAATAATGTAATGTTCCCACTTACACTCGAATATGTCATCTATCGCTTCAAATATCAAAGACGAATTGAATTATAGTTAATGAACACCATTAGATTGTAAACTCTTAAACTTAAATAGTTTCAAGCTTTTCAAAAACTTTTGTAGCGCATCAATAACCGGTGTTCTTCATAACTCATTCCGATCCATTATTCCTAATAATCTCATGAAACATTCCTCAGTTTCAGTTAAATTCATTTGTGATCCAAAATCTGAAACAGACATTTGTTGCTTCCTTGTATGCGTTTGAAAATTCATAAATCATGATTAGGACTTATCAGGCGTTTAGAGACAAAGTGATACAGTTGAAAATTAGTTCAAGCAATCCAGATTTACTCGTTCATACTCTTTGACGTATCATAACTTCATACTTTTACTCCGTTCGCAACTTGTTTTCTTCAATTTTTCACTATCATAATCATTAATGTTACTCTTTTACTTTACCTTCTATCAATTTTTTCTTCATATTATGATTTAAAATCCATCTATTCAGATCGCTGTTCATATGTGTCATTTCACATGTTTTTTACTTGTGTTTTATTATTACGTGGTCTTTTCTGAGTAGTTCATGTGTGCGGTAAGGAGCCGGCATTAGTATTGCAAAATTTTCTTTCTTTCATAAAGTTTTTACGTTACCATGGTGTTAAATCAGTTTCATTCATATAACTTAAAGCAGTTTGACACCTACATTCCGTACATATTTCAAATAAATCATAGATCTGCTGAAACTAACTTGATTACTTTATACGTTTTTGGATTTGTATGTCATTTCGATATCTAGAACTATTTTTCACTATAGTGGTTTGTTAGATGCTTTCAAACTAATATCATAAAGGAAAAGCTTATCTTTCATTTTCTATACATGTACACTGTTTTCTGTCGTGCTATACGTTATTCCATGTTAACATAAGCATATTTTATAATACGCTGTACTATATCTTTTGTAGTTTAGAGGCGATGAAATTTTCCAGAACAATTATATACTAGAAACTACTATATCATAAAACTATAATAGAACTAACTTAACATACTGATTTTGTGGCGGTTGCTTCTATTTATGTTTTAAAAGTTTATGTTTAGACCAAATGACGTGGTTAAATGAATTTCTCTAGCTAGTACCAGCCTTTTCACATGTGCTTTAGAATCGTTAGAGTAAATTTACTTGCTATAGCAACGATAACTGTAGGCTATAACAAATAAGTTTCAGTACAAAGTTCACGTTGCGTTGTAGGTGATGAACGAGGTGATCTCGTGTGATTTTAGGTCACTATCCAGTTGTTCAGACCGTGTAAGAAGATTTCTTCTTAAGGAACCTGAAAAAGAAACTGGATTGGTGATGGTCATAGCTGCTTGGGAGGGTGATCACAGAGCCCAAACGAAAACTACTTGAAGTCGGTCGTATACGACCATTTTTTCGAAATTTTTTGACGTGTTAGCTCCGCGATTCAAAAGGCCTTATCACCGGAAAAGAAAACTCGTTGGGTAAAGTGAAGTATGAAATTGTTAGTCAACTTTTCTAGCCTGTCTGTTCTATTGGGACAACCTAGCATCTGTAAGGATGTTGGAAGTCTATTGTCATACTCCTTTACAGTCAGCAGTACGACTTCAACTTCAAGTTCCTTCGTATATTCTAACCACTGAGTCTAAGCCGACTGACCTAAAGGAACTAGTGTTCCAACCAACATAGCTTAATTAGGATATTTCGTTATGCGATCCCGACAACCACGTTGAGATAGCAGCAACGGTCAGACATAGCAAAATGTTTTTTATCTTCTTGTCAAAAGAATCACAGTGAGAATAAGGAATATATGCAAGCTTTTATCCTTTCAATCAGTGCAGAACACCTAAATAGTAAAAATTATTGTTGAATTCTATTGGCTGAAGCATAAATCTTTGTTTTTACGATCTGAAGTTTTAATACTTAAAGTAAGGAATCAAATTATTCATTTACTTACCTGCAAGGGTGTGAAATATTTGGCTAAAATTATTCTAAAAAAATGGTGCTACTTACAAAGCAATAAATTATGGGCTAAGATAAATGTTTCACATTGCATACGACCTATGTGAGTAATATCTTAACATCAGAAATCACACTCCTTTGTAATATCTGATTTTTTTTCAGTTAAACAGGAGGATGACGAAATTGTTTTTCAAATCGTCTATACATTTTTTCAGTTAACTTTTCATGAATCAACAAGAAATTTGTTAGTAAAAACGACACGTGAGTACTAATTATCATTTTTCATTTATCTTTTAAGAATTATTTAAATATTGTAAAGTTAAAGGTCAATTTTGAATAGGCTACATGGTGAACAATTGGTCAATAACAAGTATTATTGGAATTTGTACACAAATCAACTGATTCATTGGTATGCGAAGTATCAGTCAGTCAGTTAGTCAGCTACAACGTAGGACCAGACACATATATGCATCGGTCCAAGTTGCCATACCTCATTAACACAACAAGATGGACACCGGATTCATAAAAGTAGTTAATTCAGAGGTGATAATATATAAAAGAAAGATTGCATATAAGGATATAGTACAGGGAGAAGGAATTAGTTCGTAGAAAGAAAGATATGAAGCGATTTTAACCTCATAGTTAAAAGGATGAAAGAGAGTGTATACACCTACGCCATCGTGATCGATTCTGAGCCATGTCACCAAGAGCCTCCAACCATTGGTTACGATAGTTACGCGGACCCCAACCAAGTAGTCTGCATCTACCAACATGGCTCAGACTAGAAGTTAGTGACTTCAAGCACTGATGCCACATTTTGGTTTGGCTGCCCCTAACTTTCTTCTAACCATCTCCAGCACCGGTTAGCATTGCGCGTTGTGGTGATCGGTGTTCAGGCATACGTAACACGTGGCCTAACCATCTCAGTCAATGAAGATTGACAAACTCATCAACTGATTTACCATCGTTCCTTAATACCCTGCGTCTAACCTCACTATCACTTACCCGCTGATCCCAGCAGATGCGAGCAATATCTCTAAGGCATCTGTGGTCTAGTGCTCCCAACTAAAATAAACGTAAAATTTGGTTGTGCTTAAAATGGAAATCTATTAGACCGATCTACGTTCACAACATTCTTTTGTTAACACCTTATAGGTATAACTAAGTGATATGAAAATCTAGAAATGAACCCGTCACTAAAGGTTATAATGTCTCACTAAACTTTTCAGTTACCTACGAATTCTAAAGCCTAACTGAGAAATAATATAGTACTCTTTCGTTCTGCAAACACTACAGACTGCATTGATAATCTTGCAGGTCACATTTCACTAAGAAGTGTTTGATCAACTTCAAATTGTCTTTTCCGATAATAGTGATCGCATTGGTCTAAATGTTATTGGAAGATTTTGGGTTCAGATAATTTATCGATACATTATGTTATACTAAAATTATATCAATAAATCGAACAACATCATAACCATTTTTTCCAGTATAATCACGCCAATTATAACTCCCAATCAAAACACTGAAAAGCCAAACGAATATTTGCAAGTTATTTCGTCGTTTCGATGCACAGCTACCTTGGTTACACGAGGGAAATAGATTATAACGTACTCGAACTTATATATCGCAACAGACACACAAACCTCAGTAACCCGTTTATAGTTGATTGGTTGTTGTTTATGAACAAGTGAGAATAACATGAACTGATTGAATTTAAACTTGTTTACCATTGGATCTCGATTCAGTGCTTTGTAGACTAGGCTTTTGCGCGCTAGACCGAAGATTCTGAGTCCAATCCTCCAAGGCGGAATTTCGGATGTGCATTGCTCAGGAGTCCCATACCAGGGCAAAGAAGCCGCCCAGTGCTTTCAGGTTTCTAATGATCACCAAGTATACATCGGTCTGTGATCTCAACACCATTCGACAATCCCCACAATTCCTATGCTGTAAAGATATAATTATGATCAACAAATCAAAAGACAGCTTACACTTTAAAGAGTAAAAAATACCATGAACCAAATGTTTGATAAATACTTATTGAAAACGCACAAACGAATCAATATATCCCTGTTCTTGCCTCTTCGACTATACTGACATAATTTTTTTGATATTATTAGTTTAGTATTTGGGAGAGTTTGATAAGACGCTAATCATGCACTATGAAATTCTTAAAATTAGTATTCTAGCCGATATTCATATATTGAAATGCTTATTTTAAACACTAATATTTCAGTTGTCATGAGAACTTTTATTTTCACATTGTATAATTGTTCTGTTTCTCTTGTTAATTGTAATCATATTTCAATAGTTTAAATCATGATTCAATTGAAGCTAGACCACCATGGAAAACCTGGAAGCACTGAAAGGCCGTTTCGTACTAGTATGCGACTCCTCAACAGTGCTCATTCACGATGCCGCCCCCCACGAGATTCGAACCCAGGACCTACCAGTCTCACACGAGAGAGTTTAACCATCAGACCACTGAGCCGGTATCATCTGCCCACCAGTGACTGACTTCAAGAGGCATTTCCTGGAGTTCTAGTGAGAAGCCGTTACCAGTGGAGTTCAACCAGGTCTGTTGTGAGATATCAACTCACTGAAGACAATGGTGTACGTTGGCGCAACTTCGTAGATTGGTTGAAGTTAGATATTAACATTACTGAATACCGGCTCAGTGGTCTGATGGTTAAACTCTCTCGTGTGAGACTGGTAGGTCCTGGGTTCGAATCTCGTGGGGGGGTGGCATCGTGAATGAGCACTGTTGAGGAGTCGCATACTAGTACGAAACGGCCTTCCAGTGCTTCCAGGTTTTCCATGGTGGTCTAGCTTCAGTTAACTTATAATGTCATTTATTAAAATTACTATAATATCCACAACAAACCCTTTTTGATAGTAATCATATTTGTTTAAAGTATTTTAAAGATGAATTTCATAGTCAATCATATCTTATTTCATTACACGGTTGTTCTTTTTCTTTTTTTTTAAAAAAAAAACAAAAACAAATCTTACCCATATTCTAGAAGCCGTTGCTTATCTTGTCGATTTGATGCATGATAAAAATGCTGATATTCGAAAACTTTGTGATATTACCTTGGATATTGTTTGTGTAAGTTAATAATCTATATTAACTCATATTTTTGCAAAGAAATTCTACACTTGGATATACACTAATAATTAAAATAATCCTGAATCTACCATGTATATTTTATTGAAAGAATCCATTATAAAATGTTTTACGGTTGTAATATATATTCCTTGTGTTCAATAGTTACACCTATATATAAATACAGAAAGATGAAAATGGATAACCATTATTTTCTCATGATAAGTATCACCAAGGCAGTTAGACTATGATGGTGGATGGAAATGACACTTTTTCTTTATGAAAATCTTAATCATTTTCATATTTAATCTTTTATCTGACTAGCAAAGAGAATTTTGACTGGATTAATACAGAAACCATACTTTTTTTCAAATTAACTACGTTTCGCTATTCAAATACTTGATAACTACTAACAATTATTTAATTTCAATGCATCATTTAAAAAAAAGGTTATTAGCCCTCAAAGTAATCCAACTGTAGCTCCTATGACTTCATTGCTTAAAATTACTTATTTGATTCTTAAAAATGTTTCGAGTTTCTCTTGGATTCCTGACACACTTCATTGATAAACAACAATAACACAACAAACTTACTTTCTCTTTGTTCATTTAGCCAATACTTCTGAATGCAGATAATTTATAATAATGTCTTATACACAATTAATACCTTTTGCAGAGTTAGGTAACGTCACTGACAGATGAAGTATATCAAGATCATGTAATTTGTCAACACAATAAAATTTGAACATTTTGATTGTGCACTATCGTCTTAATATATCTTTTCATGAAAAAATCAAACAAATGGAAAGTATAAGAAAAACCTGAACAATAAAGAAACACATATGTTACTTATTTTAACCTCATTGCTAAAATTGAATTCAACTTTATACAATTAGATTAAATATATGGACAAATATATCAATTACTAAGATATAAATAAAACGCTTTATACTTTGGATTTTATTAGTTTCTGTAACGTTTGTAAACACTTAAATCAAATCTTATTATTACTTATTATCTTTTAGGAATATGAATCTGATTGGAGAATAAGGATTCAAACAGAACGTTTTCGTTGGCATAACAGCCAATGGTTAGAAATGATTGATACAGCAACCAAACCTAGTCTTCTTGATAATTCAGACTCAACAACTGAGGCAGCATTAGCAGCTGTCCTTGGTGTCGGTCATGCTCGATCTCAATATCATTCCAATTTATTAACTGATGATGATTTAAATAATATTGTTAATGGAGACGATAACGATAATCGTGGTTACTTTGGAATGGGATTGGACATTGATGATGCAGCAGCATTTCTAATGTCACTATCATCAAATAATGAGGGACGTAAGCGATCATCAGGAAGTGAAAATATTTTACACATACCATTTGAAAACAATAACTATATGAACCACTTGAACATGTTGTGTCCAGGTATGTGGAGAATATTAATAAGGAATCGTTTACTTCTGATGATAGGTGTACTAGTAATCTTACAACAGCTGCATTAAATGGATTTTTGTACCAATAATAAAAATTCATATTTATACTAAGTACACATTAATGTGTAGGCAAAAGTGTAGTAAAGTAACCAGTCAACCGGAGTCGGAATTTTGAGTTTTGAGTTTTTGAGCGAAAATCAAATATCGCGTACAATGTACACTGGAAATACCTTGAAGAACTGCTCAAAGAGTTTTATATTATTGTAGGTATCATTACCAAGGTTTGACTTGGTAATTTCGAACAAACTGAGCATTGGATAGATTGTTATAAATAAATTAATATATTTGTAATATCCGAATGAGTAGAAAAATTAAACTATCTGACATTTTGTGACTCAGTGTAAGCCGCTTCTTCAGAGAATAAATAAATTGTTGTCATCACAGTGGAAAAATGATAGTGTTTGAGTCATTGTACTCTGGATTCCATCTCTGTAAAATGTACTTAACAGGCAAATTGACAGTATCCCTAAATCCTAACCCCAAACTCTTGATCCAAAATTAAACCCTAACCACAGTGAACTATATTTCATTACCAACCTAATCGGACAGCGTCCGTTCGATTTTTGTGTGAAATTCACTCGTCCATTAGGCTACAGAATAATTTTGCCTTACACGCGATGTCAATTGGTGATGAAAACCCTGGTCTTAACTCCAAGTAGAAACAATGTCGGAACTCGAGAAAATCTCTTGCGTTCATTATAAGGGTTCAAACTAGGAATAATCTACATCAGTTTGGTCGGACTTATGTGTCATATTTTTTAAAATTACAAGCAGATTAACTTAAATAAATCGTTAATAAATTCATTAATCATGTGAAATCTGTTTATACTTTGTTATATTATTATTTTCTGTTTCATAAACTATCCATTTAAGAAATTTACTCCATGATTATCTGAGAACTGGCTGGAAATTTGTAGCGCTTGTTTTAAGCTCGTCTCTAGACTGTACTCTCACTTATGTGTCCAACATAAACGAGTCGATAAAGTATGGTAAACACTACAATTTTCATCTTAGTACTTCGAATAGTGATTTCTGATGACAAAAATAGAAAAGTTTGTTTTTAATGTCACTATTCGTCTTACTCTGATCAGTCAACATTTTAATTCATCAGTATCTAATTTTTTTGAGGATGCTAGATCCCTATAAATCACTTGGTAAACGTCTTATTTTTGTAATTTTATTTAAGAAATTTGCATTTCTCATTTCTGCGCCAAAAGCACACATTTTTACCTTCAGGTTGTATTTCCCACTTGGAAGGACCTTAAATGTCATTGGTTCGTTTCCTCTTTTAATAAGCTGTTTTGTGACGTTTCTCAAGGACATTTTTACACAGTGTATATATGCTTAAGTTGTGTACCTGTTCGTTCGTACTTTCAACCGCTTATGGAATGTACATTTCCCTCGTCTAAATCTGGTCTCATTTTAGTTTGCAGGGCTAGGGCGCAGTGAATAGTTTAGCTTACCTTGTTGTTCTGTTGCTGGTCCTTCTTTCCGTTCGTCGAATTTAGGTGATCTCGTAATCTCCTCAAACGTAGCACTTCTTAAACCAATTAACGTTCTTCTAATTCCTTTTTTGAGAAAGGTACGTAAAATGATTAAATTATGGGATATATGTACAGTACCTCACAATATACACTTACAAAGTGTATATCTTAAAACATCCATTTGATAATATCCAACACTTGTGCATTTGATTTAAAAAGGCTTATAAAGTCGATTAATATCCCGTCATGTTTTGATCACTCTTGATCCATCCTGTTGTGAGCTCGGTTCACACAATATGCTTTATCTAATTGTGTTCTCGAGCAAAACTACAGATACCTAGAGCCTTTCATACTCTTGACCTATATGAGCTCATAAGTGACTCGATATTTCAAAACGAAACTTAAATCTACGTGATTTGTATAGGAAACGCTCGTCCCTAAACCCTAGTCACAAAACTTGAACGGCATTTAATGAAGGTTTACTGAAAACGTTAGTTAGATTTTGGATGCATTTCCATACTTCTCATAAATATATGATGAGTGCTTGTTTTTCTCTAAAAAATCAGGTCATCAGTATTTAATTTACATCTGTAGAAAAATAAACTCGTTTTGCACTTACTTTATCGAAATGTCACTTCGTTTTTTAATTCAAAATGGGTCTTTTTTCAGTCACTTATCCACAAATTTCTATTTTCAATTATAGATATGTACGGTGGTGTAAACTTTTTATCTAATGAAAGAGTGAGTCCGGGAATGACGGTTAACAGTCACTATGACTCAGATTCAGATACTACTCAAAAAGGGAGTGGTTCACGGTAGGTTTCAAGATTTCATTAATGAATTTAAACTGATCTTTAGTACCTTATTTGTCAGTGTAATTATTTCAAGAAGCATTTTTACCACTTAGTAGGTTCTATCCACGTGCAAACTAATTTCTGTAGGAAACCAACACTGAATACTACTAACATTTGTATACACCTCACCATCAGTAGTTATACGTTAGCACAGAGAAAACTAAAGTGCATTACATTCGCCTTCCGGATTGCAACCGGTGGGCCTTAGAAAGCTACATTGTTCATTTCGGTTAATATATAAAGAAATACAATACACCTTTTGTAGTTAAACTATGTGGTTTTGAAATCCCATATGAAGAAAAGACCTTTCGATGCTCAACTTTTTCTTAGGGTTTTCAGGTTTTGGATTTCGTTAACAGTGTCTTGCGAATTTTTGTTATGATGTAAACTAATTTTTTCAGAAAACTCCCAATAAAAAATGAATTCTCTTGCAGTATGAAGGAGATAGGGTTGTAATTGTATGTATTTTTTTAGTAAAATAAAAATTAAATCCCAGAAATCAATAGTTGCTTCATTATACTAACCTATACTAGCCTACTTACACCTGCTTCCCCTCGTCGAGGAACATGTGCCACCCATCAGCTTTTTCTATTAAACTCTGTTCTGGGCAATCCTCTCCAGTTGTTTCCAAATGCTATTCATTCTTTTGATGCCTAAATTAAATTCTCGACGCGATGTGTTTTTTGGTGTTCCGCTGTTCCTTTTCACTTAAGGATTCCAAGTTAGCACTTCCCTCGTGATGCAGTATGTTGAGGTCCGCAAAGTATGTCCTACCCACCTCCAGTATCTCTTTCTGATTTCCTCTTCATCTGGAAGTCAGTTTGTTCTCTACCACAGTAGGTTTTTGCTGATGGTAACCGGCCAGTGTATATGGAGCATCTTGCGTAGAAAACTGTTTGTAAATCCTTGTACCATCTTGATGATGGTTATGTAGTTCTCGAAGTTTCAGCCCCGTACAGTAGAACTGTCCAGATGCTAGTATTAAAGATCCTGATTTTGATATTGGTTGACAGTTGTTTTGAGTTCCATATGTTCTTCAACTGTAGGAGTGCTACCCTTACTTTACTAATCCGTGCCTTTACATCTGCATCAGATCCTCCTTGTTCATCGATGGTACTTACTAGGTACGTGAAAGTCTTCACCGTCATGTGTGATTGGGTTGGTTTGTATTCTCTGTGTTGTATTTAAGGATCTTGTTTTTTCCCTTGTGCATGTTGCGGCTTACTGATGAAGAGGCTGCTGCTACACTGTTTGTCTTGACCTGCATTTTTTGGTATATATGGGATAGATAGCTTCATATTTGTTCAAAAACTATCAAAATTGGACTTGATTGTGTTTTATTTAGTAAAGTTTTGTATATACTCTTTGTACACTGGCATGGAAGCAAACTTAATCGGCGATTTTAATAACAAGACATATGGCTGGCTAAAGGCATCTGTACGTATACCTTTGTTTAAGACCTGGAGACTTGTAAATATCTGAATAATGTATCTACTATCATGTTTAGGATCTACCTGTTTACCTCTAAGTTCTTTGTTCTTGAGTTTCGGTTAAGGATTTCATCTTATAAGATCTAGGGTTCAAAGAATTTAGTAAATCAGGATTTTTCCCATGTATTTATCTCAAGTGAGTTTTGTTCCAGTTTCTAAGGAAAACTATTATTGATAATTTGCATATATTGATTCAAAGATCAGTTATCTTGACTCAAATGTCGGACCGAAATATCTAAGGGTTTCCTTAAGCTTAACGTTCTAAACTGCTGCTTTTTTATGGTTTAGTGTTATTGTAACTCTTCCTAATTTGGCTAGTTTTCTGAAGGATTCCAAGTTACAGTGAAGTGAATGTAATTAAAATCCAGTTGAATGACGCCTCTGTCATTACAGTTTAGAAAAATTACATTTTAGTAGGCGCCGGTTAAGAGTTCTTAATTTATATTACTGACATCTAGCATACGTTAATCGACATTTCAAGAACTCAAGTCACCTAGTGTTAACACCATACTCTTATCGAATCCCAGTAGAGATAACTATAAGACTTCACTTACAGTCTCCTATCATAGTGCAAATATTCATACCAAGACGTAGCTCTTAAATCAACGTTTCTGGGACATTGGGATCTGATGAGATAAACGTTTTAGTTAGCTGATCGTATTACTGATTGAATATTTTGACAGTAGCATAAAGACCACGCATATATCTCAGTAGTCAAAGTTACCTTCCCATAATTTAACCTAGCTTGTTGTGAATTAACGGATTCCTAAGATCTGTGTTAATCTTTTTTTTATTACTTAGTCAACATTATGTTTTAATAAAACACATCTTCGTATATAGGATATGATTCTTTTCAACTTCATGGTAATTATCACTGTCCTAAGACTTCAATGAAAAGCGTAACTAATTAAGTGAATACATCCTAAACGAAAATAAGTTTGGATAATTACTGACTTTCCGTAGGAAGAATTTTTTTCTTATAGCTGACTGTTTACAGTGTGTTGATTTGATAATTTACTTCACCAGTTTACTTAACCACACCAACTCTACTATTTTAGAGATCATTACAAATTTATAAAAATTGATAGTGTGTAATCCTGTCTTTTTTTACATTTAATGAATTCGTCAAGTACTGTGGAAAATATTTGAACTACGAAATTTAATGTAGGTGGGTAGATATGAACTACTTACTTTTATGTCTTCTAACTTTAGCATAAACTCCAAACACATATTTTGTGTTACGACTCAGTACTTGTGTAATTAGATGAAATACTACAGTAGGATATACTGAGCAACCCTTTAAGACGGTAGTTACTAGTCAGATTCCCAAACGTAAGAGAAGGAAAGACTGTCTATATGATACTACATTAACATGATATATATATAGATAACGCCATTTAAAGGAATGTTTTTTAGACCAATTTATGAAAAACTCTCTGCATATATTCTCCGTTTGTTATGTGTCCCTTACAATTAGAGTCAAAGAGATTTTAATTACTTTACTGTTAGTATTCTCAACTGATAATTTGGATAATGAGTTTATTTACAAATGAGTCTGAACAAAGCAAAAGGTTATGAAATTGAGACTAATTTATAGTTGAGAAAATTTTGAACTGTTTTCTGGAATGGTAGTCATGTTTTGAATGTACTGTCTTTCTGATATTATTTTAGATTAATTTCATTCATTTTAAATCATTGCATTGCAAGTATAAACAGATATTTATGCATTATTTATTTTCCTAATTGTTAAAAGTAATACAGATTATGAAATGATATACAAGAGGATAAGATACCTAGTTCAGGATTAGGATATTTTAATGCCCGAAACAATATCATTAATAAGTTGAAAAAGTAATCGACGAGAGAAAAACATTTTGTATACCAAACAAAAGCGATTTTCGATTGGTGTTTCTGATATCTAGAATGAGTATGCTTGGATTCAAATATACATTAGAAAGAAAAGGATAAATATTTTAAAACTACTAATCTGCTAGTTTCTTGTACATAACTATAATGAACTACTGCTCAGTGTGTATAATATCGTTATATGATGTTCTGCTAAATTATTAAAATAAATATAATGAATACTTGTTCATCCGTTTATACTAATATCTTGAAGGGGGAGTAAAGCATTTCTTTACTGAAATTATCATAGGGAAGAAAACCTAATAGTGTTTATTTTGATTATTAGCGACTTTAGTTCTACTAATGATTATAACCTCAGTATTTATGGACATCCTTGGTACAGTAGAATATGATAGCATTGCTACCAAACTCCTCAAAACTCTGTACACCCACTAGATCGTTCATTCTAAGAATACAATATATTCATCAGAACGGAATAGTTAGCTTGTCAACACCCGAAGGTAAACAAGCACGAAACTACCAAGGTGTTTAACTGAAGAGATGTAAAAAAGTCTCAGGTGGGTAATAGAATAGCGTGAATTGTTGATTCATTAAAACCAGTGAGATCAGCATCAGATGTTGAATATCCTTTGAACTATTCACTCTGGAGAATTATTCAAGGTTATATCTGCTTAATTACTTGAAAAAATTAACTCTTAGAACGAATTCATTGTTATTGTTTATTTGAATCTTCCCATTAATGTTTAGAACTGAAATTAATCAGTCTCTTATTAGCATATGTGCATACTGTTCGTATTTACTCGATATTGCATTAATTCACAAGCATCATAAGCATAGATGGATAGTGGCTAGCAGTAGAATCCAGTTATTACTTGTTATACTTTTAAAAAACTACTTCAATTTTGAAGAACAGCATTATGTGTGAGATAAGGTTTTAGACGATTACTGTAATATACGGATTATCACTTTTACTTGGAAACTGGGAACCATTAAAATCCTCATGACGAGAAGTAAGAACACAAAACATTGGTACAAGTGAAGATTCGTTCACTCCAAAATTCGACGACCCTAGTTGAAAATTGTTGTAACGTGAGGATTGCAGATTTTGATAGCAGCAGCGTATATTATCGATCGATTACAGTGACACGTAAAACACGTACGAACGACCTAGAATCCCGATTGGCCCTGCTTCGCTGTCTAGCCGAGCCAGTTGAGTCCAGAACACAAGTCACAGCCTCTGAGATATGAATCATTATATTTCAGACATACTCTGTTTATATACCAACCAAACAAACCACATCGTACCATAAAATAGAAAACAACATTTGTACAATATTTAACAAGTGAAATAATTATCGACCAATAGGGAGTGTACATTTAAAGTCCAAGGCCAGCATTAGACTTAACATGATAATTATTGGTATATTTTTCTGCACATCCTAACAAGAATACATTCATGTATATATCGAGCTGTATACCCAATTACTTATTAACTACAAAACTGTCGAATATATGAAATTAGATGAAAAAAAACTCACATTCTACAAGTCACTCTTAATAGAGTTCGTTTTAATTTAATACAGAGAAGAATAGATTAAATAAAAATCCCAATGAAAATAAATATAATCTTATGTTGAGTAAATTATTACATTGAAAATAAGATGAATATTATTATTCTGAGCAGTTATCATACAGAATTGATGCAAGGAATATAATTGTCACACTGAATGAAAGTTCACAGCTGTCATCCTGGACGAAGATCACGGTCAATCGATGCAGAAAATATTGACCTAAATAGTGTCCTCTTCTTATCCCGTCATATCAATTACCTATTAGTTAGTAAAGCGGGGAAATAATCCTTGATTTCCAATTATGAATCTTTGACTTTGTGAGTTTTCAGACATACTGATAATCTTCATTGACATTTCAATCTACCTTTGAAAAGTTAAGTGTTTTCTGACAGTGACCCATGAATATAAACAATTAATTTATTGAGAGCTAACTATCAAACTGCAATGAATGAATGCTACAGGCAAGTTTATGACCATAAATTCAATGGGAATGAGGTCTGACTTTGATGTAATCGAGCTCCTATAATTTATTCACCGAAATAATTAATTAGACTAGATAACGCATCCGCTGAAAACAAAGTACTAATATACAATTTTCAGTGTTAGTGTGAAGCTATTACTACTGATAGTCGTGGTTATTTAGTTGAGATTGATTTCATCGGTCACCCACACATAAATTCATCCTCGTTGATTAAATCATTGTGCATATATATAGAAATTTCATGTATACATTTTATGGCAATAGCATTTTATTTCTCACGATACATACGTCACTTTCTGAACTCCTTACATTCATGTATAACATGCTAAATGTTTGGTTAAATTTAGATATTGTTGATCATTTTGTTTAGTGTTTAGGTACTACAATCATGTATTCGGTGTTGTTTGTTTTTTACTAACTGTATCAGTTGTTTTACTTAACCTTTATATCTAATGGGTACCATCTTGATTTTCTGTATTGAGTTGCTCACCACTGAGTTATTTGATTTAATTTATCCATTTTGCGCAGAATTACATTCTTTGCTTTACAAGAGCGTTTTGTCCTCTTTAAAAACTATTGTGTTTTTCAATGATTTATCTACTTAATATTTTGCAGTTTGAGTCTACTCAGCTTTAAGGTACAAAGTAACATTCTCTGCTCGGCGGGAAACTTATCTTTTTGACCTTTTTATTTTATCAGGTCGGGCTGTATTTCTGCGGTACGAATACTGTTTGGGTTTTGTGTAAACTAAACATTATTAATATCCTTATGTTAAGCAATATCTTTGTTAAGAGCAAACCTTTAAATTTTGACAAAGTGTAGAAGATATACAGAATATACCGGGACATAAGTAATTCTGATTTTTACAAATATCATGGGCCGGCCATAAAGCGCTGTTGTTCTCATTAACTGAAAACTGTTTAGTTTTACTCACTATTTCCTGTTGTCAATAGTTTTAACTCTGTAATTAATCAGAGTAACGGAAAGATCGATTGACAAGTGCTCACATTCTAAACAGAATGCCGGGTCATTTTTCGCCATATATTTATCGATTGTTCAATGTTTTCGTCTGTTAATTGGAACTTTGTGAAGTCATTGACAGAATAGGATTAACAGTGAGGAAGTATAACATTCGACTATCATACGAAGGACTATTGTTTATATTTCTGTTATATGATTAGTAGATGTTTAGACTGTTATATTTCTACACTCTACTACTTTGAAGCTTTCTTTTGATTCATAAATCATTATATGCCTGTTATTCCAGATTTGTCGTTCATTAATCACTCTTCTTATTACGCCTGTCTTGCATCACTTATAACTAATTTATGTATACATAGTACTTTCAGTCATGTTACTGTGTGTTCAGACATTTTGAGTATATTACTGTATGAGTTTCAAATCATGATTAAATTGAGTACAATACAGGGCTGATCTGCTTTTTATCTTCACTTTCTGATTTGTTGCTGGCTTAGAAGGAGCGGAAGGACCGAAAAGTGCTATGGTCTTTGTTGTTTTTAAATGAACGATTTGTTGATCAATAAGTAGGTTTCTGGTTCTACTGACAATATAGGTACTATAAACAATAATCAGACCAGAGAGAGATCATACAACTGCTTTCTTGTCATCAAGGTTTGATCACACAGGACCCAATACAGTCGAGAAATCTGTTTTCTTCTATATAAAGGTAATTTGCAAGAGTCGTTAAGGAGTAAAATAATCATATATATCTGCAGGACGCCTTGAGACCGGTTGAATGAAAATATTAGCTGTTTGGGATCGAACTTTTCCAAGCCTAATGTAATAACTAGTAATGATCATGGTAACCGATGAGGTGAATGTCCCATGGTTTGTCCAAAACACTAGCTAATAGTCAGTGATTGATCATGCTATAAATATAAGAGGAAACTGCAAACAAAAGTGAATAGATAGTATCAAATATAACAGAGGAAGTTCTGCAAAGGATTTACCACTTGTAACAAACATCATACCCACCACAGCTTAAATTAAAGTAAGTAAAATGACATTTCACGCTGAATTTCTGTTGAAGGTTCATCGAATCTGGAACTGAATCCATATATAAAGCGAATTCTGTATTTTTAATCCCTTTCAACCAACCATGTTTAAACTAACCATAATTCAACCTGATTTCGGACACCAAATAGCCACCACATGAAGATACTGCTTAAAACATGTTCATAATTATCATAAATGGGAGAAGCAAGGAAGATAGATTTTTATAAGTGTGTATTTACTATCTTCAGATAGTGTGAATATATGTTGTGAATGACCTGTATATATTGTGTTACACCCGTATTGATATTGATTATACCATGCTAATAATATTTCTAGCCAGAAAATAGAGAAAACAATCATAGGAAAACACAACTTACTCCCTTCATCAAAAAATAATGGCAGAACTATTTCTCAACTCTGTAATTTTTAGATTTCATTGGCACTGATTAAGAACAACTTTAATTAAATAGTATCCATCGTTGTATAAATAATAATACAGTCAACCACAAGAAATATAGGAAAGGGGAGAGTAAGCAGCCTTGTCTGACTGCGATCCCCACTTAGAATGCAACTGCCAGCTGTCCTCTATGCACGACTTCGCATTGTAGTCCGTCGTACGAATTCTGGATGATTTTGACGATCTTCTCAGGTACTCCATAATGTCGAAGAAGTTTCCACAATGTTCTCCTATTCACACTGTCAAACGCCTCATAGTCAATGAAGTTGATGTAAAGTGACGAAATCCACTCAACTGATTGTTCAACAATGATCCGTAGAGTCGCAATTCGGTCTGTTGGTCTAGAAGTTTGGCGTCTACCGAGTCTTTCATCCGGTTCAGCAACACTGCTGAAAATGTTTCCTGATATTGGCAGTATTGTGATGCCTTTAGTTCTGACGTTTGCTCAGATCTCCTTCCTTTGATATCTTGATGAGGTTTCCTTCCAATCTGTTGGCAATTTTTCTTCCTCCCAAATCTTTATGAAGAGTGTGGAGCATGTTTGCAGTTGCTTCTATGTCTGACTTCAGAACTTCAGCTGATCCTACCACTTTCCGCCTCTTGATTTGTCTGATGGTCACCCAGATTTCTTTCGTCGTTTGTGGAATGACATCTATAAGAAGGTCCGTAGGTGCTGTTTTTAGGTCTGATGGGTTGAATGGGACTGTTCTATTTCAGAGTTCCTCAGAGTGTTCTATCCATCTTTTCCTCCGTTCTTGAATCTCAGCGATTGGCATATATTCTTTATTCTTGATTGGTCACCCTGGTTTACCACATTTCCCTGCAAGTTTCTTTGTCGTGTCATACAGTTGTTTCATATTTCCCTCACTTTCAGCTTTTACTATTGTCGTTGCTAGGTCTCCCACGTATCTCTGCTTGTCAGCTCTTGACTTTCTCTGCCCTTGTTTGACTGCTGTCCTCTTGTTCTTCCTTTCTTGTTCAGGGTTTCGATGGAGATCCATTGCTTATGATGATGCTCCTTGAGACCCAGAATCTCCTGACATGTTGAAGTTAATGCTTCTTTGATCTTTTTACAGTTGCCCTCCAGCGTAGTTTCTCCTTCTTTCAGTAGATCTTGTAAGCTTGGAACCTGTTGTTGAGAGCTATCTTGAATTCGTTGAGTTTGTTAGTATACCAAAGGAAGGCTGTATTGAACCATTGTAATGCTGTCTCCCCGATTGTCCAATGCTTGTTTAGTTTCAGTTTCATCTTGGCAACCACCATTTTGTGGTGATCTGAAGTTTTGTCTGCTCCTCTCCTGGTTCTCAAGTATTCCATCGCCCTTCTGAATATTTTAGTGATACAGATATGATCCATCTGGTTTTCTGTAGTGCGGTGTAGTCCGGCGAGATCCATGTAGCTTTGTGTGTGCGTTTGTGTGGGAATATTGGGCCGCCTATAACCATTTTATTGAATGCACATAAGTGTGTAAATCTGTCACCAGTCTCGTTCCTTTCTCCCAGTTAGTTCATATAGTCCAATGTTGTCCATTCCTGTGACTAACCTCTATCTTTCCCTAGACTGGCAGTAACTCTGAAAGGGCTACAGGTGGAGCTCGGCTTTGATACCTATAAATTATTATCATAATTACATGAGGTACGTCAGTTTCTATTCGGTGGACAAATTATGAAGTGCGCTTATAACTTTGATGTTATCGGAGTTTCTCCCTGTGTTTCGTTTTTGCTCTACAGAGCATTTTGAATCCCATAGGCTGCCGTGTTGGGGAACCGCCACTATGACTTGTTCTATTCAATTCGTCTGACCGATCCATCTGTGGAGGAAGCTATTTGGCTGATTTTTTTACCATTCCGGTGTTAGGACATTGGTTTTATGTCGTCACTATCCTCCCTTTCTTCTTGTCAAGCACATTGCACCCATTCTTAATATTTAAAGGCGCATTTCTTGCAGTCAATTTTGTGCTTCCCTCGTGTAATAACGACTGTGCCTGGTGGAAGAACAATCGTTCACGTATATCCTGTTTCAATACTGGTTGTATCTATCCATTAAGTATCACACTTATACCTAGCCTTATAGAGCCTTCAGTCTTACTGTGCAGTATTTATGATTCGCCACCGACCTTTGATGTGCTTAGCTGAGATTTGACGCTGAAAATTCACCCGCCTGGTTCAATTTGTTTGATTACGAATGTTAAGAGGAATAAATATCCGAATTTTTCCGTTCTTTGTAGTGTGAATTTCATAATGTTTGTGATAAGCACTGGTTTTATCACTCTCTACTATTAATGCCTTTCTTTTCGTAACTGCCAGCATCTAATCTGCAGATACTTTTGACGCTAGAGTAGCACCTTGTTCAGTGTGAGGAATACCGGAAAAGAGAACAGGAAAAAACTGAACAGACTTTGCAGAAAGTAAATACAAAACAATTACTTTTGTTACGGAAAGCTCACCATAAATGTTTGCAACACAAGAACGAGATAAAAGCAACCTGGATGTCAAAACTGTCAGTTAGTAGCTTACGTTTCAGGGTTAGTTGTTGTAAGCTAGTTCCTCTAGTTACGTTTCGCTGACCCTAATCTATTCATATTAGAAATCTTGTGTTGAAATCGATTTACCGAAGGCAAACAGATATACTCAACTTTTACCTGCTGAAACTTCCATGTTCCTCAGATTATCAACTTACACTATCAATTTCCTGGTGTCTGTTTATTTTTTCCTAACATGACAATTATTCGTCTACGAAGAAATACAGTTTGTGATTATTGCATACACCATAATGTTTTCAACATTTCTATTCACTTTCATAGTTTGCTGTTCCACACGATTAATTTTCATAAAGCCCAAAATCTTCATCAGACTTGTGAAACATTTCGCATTCTAATGATGAATTATCAGTGTTGTTTCCATAAATCCTGCCAACCAAGCCTGAAGTTTGGCATGTGGCTGTTTGCGAAAATTACACCTTGCGGCTGGCCGTTAAAATTGGAGTTTGAGGTTACTAAGCTGCTGACGATATATCGAGGACCTTCAAATTTTGATTCACAGGTATTTAATAATAGATTATAGTGTAAGCGTAGTCAATGACTTCTTACAAAACTAAGACCGATGCCACTTAATATAGGATTGATGTTTAAACTTGAGATATTTAGAGCGTTTAGATAGTGTACAATGCAACTTTTCTCTAAGAATATAATGAAACTTAAATTGAGAACTGCCTAAATATGAAAGGTAAAACTGTTGTTAGTGAAAGGCATCGCTAACATTAACTGTCGCACAAGAGTTGTTTCAGGACGATCCCGTGGAGATGTTTTTTAGCTCATCCAATGTAGCATCCAGACACAGTCTACGAGGTGGCGATACCAGATTGGTATACGATCCGGCGAAAGTAAAGATTAACACTGGCTTTCGATATTGCACATATTGTATACTCATAGAACTACGGAACTACAAACCTATAAATATCACTTCTGCCGTATCACTCCTAATGAGAGTATTGATACAAGATTGTCTGCCCATCTACTTAAAGGACTCGTGATCGACCTATCGCAACCTAGTTGCACATGAACAAAGTTCCGCAATACATGCCTGATAAACCTCATTAATTAGGTTGCTCGTATGCGCGACCTAAAGCAACTTGTGGTCTTACTGTACTTCGACATCAAAAAAGATTTTGATGGCGAACCTCGTAATATTCTAGATAACACAATTCAGTTGATCGAAATTACTAGTCTGCTGCTGCAATTGGCTAACTTTTTCTCATTAACAGATGCCAAATCAGTAAAATTAACTCTACCACCAACAACCAATGGTGTTGTGCAGGGTGGTTTCTTGAGACTGTTGCATTTTACAATCAACATCAACAATACATGCAGGTACTTCAACATAGATAAGATCCATCTTTACGCTGATGACTTAATTGTCGTCTACGAAACTTACATTTGCAACGTAAGAAGTATGAGGCAAGCAATCCACCA